GTTTTCCCAAGCTGCAGGCCACTTGGCTGGCATGCCAAGCTCATTTTTGCAAACCAAGGCAGAACCTAGGCACGTTCACTCCCCAGGGAATCCCCCACCCAAGACTCCCATTCCCTCATCCTTCTGCTCTCCAGCCCGGCTGGGCCCTTCTTCCGCAGGGGAAGACCCCTGGGTGAGGGAACGGGGGATTCCAACCAATTTAGGGCACTGCCCACAACTTTCCAGACACCTCGCACATCAGCCTTCCTCTAAATCCATAAATTCTGCCGACTGCCCTGGGCATCCTACAATAAGGAGTCGTCCCTGGATTTAAAAAAAAAAAAAAAAGCTGGGCATCTTTAATTTTGTGCACTAACATCATCTCATTGGAATTTCATTACAGCAGGAATTAGCATCGTTTCTAACACAGCACTCTTTGCTTTAGAAAAGAAAAGGTTGTTGACTGGGTTTGCAGCAAACGAGCTCTCTTTCCAAAGGAGCTGTTTTTCCTTTTCTGCTTCTCAGCTGCGCCCTACGACACGGACTGGGTAGCGCAGACACATCTCACAGGTGGCTGGCACAGTGGTCAAGCTGCGCCGTGCAATACCAGGATCCCATGTCACAGTGCCCTGCCCCTGTTACCGTCCCAGCTTCCTACTTCTGCTCAGCCCTTGGAGACGGCCACATGCTTTGTGTCCATCACCCCTGTGGGAGTCCAGATGGGATTAGCGGACTCCAGCCTCGGCATGAGCCATGCCTGGCTGCTGCAGGCATTTGGGAGTGAACCTGCAAATGGAAGGGCTCAGTTTGCCTTTATGTCTCTGTCCCTGTACTAAATTTAAAAAATCAAAAACAGGGCCTGGCGTGGTAGCCTAGTGGCCAAAATCTTCGCCTTGCAAGCGCAGGGATCCCGTGTGGGGGTTGCTCCACTTCCCATCTAGCTCCCTGCCTGTGGCCTGGCAAAGCAGTAGAGAATGGCCCAAAGCCTTGGAACCCCGCACCATTGTGGAAGACCCAAAAGACTCCTGGCTCCTGGTTTTGGATCGGCTCAGCTCTGGCCGTTGCAACCACTTGGGAAATAATTCAGAGAACAAAGATCTTCCTCTCTGTCTCTCCTTCCCTCTATAAATCTGACTAAATAAATAAAAAATAAGTAGAACTTAAAAAACAAATTCAACAACAAAAATCCCTCAGTCACAATCAGGCACTTGGAAGCTGCCTAGGGGTTGGTACAAAGGAGGCTGTTATCACAGCCCACCCACCCCAGACCAGTCGCTCCCTGCAGGGGCACCTGCTGGCCTGCCAAAGACTCACTCACCTCCCTCGATGCTCTGGAACAGAGCTGAGGGGCACGACTTGAAGCGCCCAGGACCCCAAAGCTTAGCTATACCCTTCAGTAAGATCCCACACCTACCACAAACCAAAACAGGTTTCTGCAGTGAGGCCGAAAAACCAGAGCTGTACATCGGCCTTCAGGAATGTTGTTCAAACACCAGAATGACTCAAAAAAAAATCACGCATCTCACCGAGATGTCCACACAGAGGTATCTGCTGCTATTGAAGTTGGTGCTTATCTTGTGAAATGTGGAAATGTTTGAGAAACTAATTTCTCTCTGGATTCCAAACCAGGATCGCAATCATCATGAAACGTACCAACACGCTCAACTTGATAAACGTTCTATGAGCTCAGAAGTCACAAATGAATGCTTGGCCATAGGAAGCGGCACCTGGACACACAAGGTCAATCTCTGGTCTGACGGGAGCCTTCCTGCCTGGTTCTCGTTTCACGCCACAGCCTACCCGCACATACGGCAGCTCTCTCTGCACCCAGGCTTTTGTAGGCACTCACTTCCCAAACGCCCAGCATGACTGGCACGACCAGGTACACAGTAGACAGTAGTGGGGCTCCAAGAGAGGTCTCAGGGACCCTCTGCCAAGGCGACGGCTCACCACAAGTTACAAAGTGTCCCCCTAGTGCTCCCGCTGTAAGAAGGCTCAACACAGGATTCCAGGAATTCCACCTGTTTCCAATTAGATACCAGAATTGCTTGAGTGTTTAAACTATGTTCACTTGCTACTTATACAAAACAATTCTTCCAGGGTTCTTTTTTTTTTTTTTAACATTTCAAATATGTTAAAATAAGATTAAGGATCTGGCTTAAACAATCAGAGGTAGGAAAATTTCAGTTGAAACTAAAACTATCTCTTGGGCAGTGATAACGCGGAGCTTCAGACAAAACAGAAGGTCCAGAAAGATGCAGTGTTTGTCGTTGACAACAACTAATTAAAAAAAAAAATCAGATTTTTCAGAGGAAAAGCAGGACTTTGGAAAAAGATCCTACACAACTTGTAATTCCCACAAAGCGAGACAATTCTGCACAGCGGAATGACCCGGTGGCTTCTTTCAAGTCGGTCAGATACAGCTCCTCGTCGCTGTGTGTGTGTGACGCTGACCTTGGGCTAAACCTGGGAGCGACATCACCCGGCAGTGCTGGGAAGAAGGTAGCCTTGCTATTTTCCTCCAATCTTTCGGCCTTTTCTCCCCAACACATTGGCCCTTCCTTCACTGTTCCAGGGACGTTTCCTTGGGCTTTACCAAATGAGCTCACCAAGCTCTAATTCTAGTCTCACCAGCCTTGTTTTCTAAGATGAGAAAACTTAAGGACAGCCTCGGGGGCAGTTTTGCTGGCTCTACTGACAGCAGGGTCCCTGTGGCAAATGACAGAGAAAAAAAAAAAAACAACCAAAAACTACAAGTGCAGGCAGCACCTCAGAAAACGGGGCCTCAGAATTGTACATGGGACATGACGGTACAGTCGCCGAGGGTCTGGGCCTCAGCGTTCACAAGGTTGTCTGGGTGGATCAGAGCCACGGCAGGAATTCCCACAGGGACTGGGCTCTGAATCCTTTTCCCAGCTTTCTCCCACTAGCCTAATGAGCGACAAACGAGATGGATGAAATTGGGGACGCAGGCCACTGGGTCTCAGTGCGGCCAGCTGTGTCTGCAGCTGTTGCCCTGAATGTACAGTTGCCACAACATAGTTCTACACAGGCAAAAACATCGAGAGAGCCAGTGACCTTGTCCCACCATCCATCTCGAAGACACCGAGACAAAAAAACAAAAAAGCAGAGGCACTGTAATCTGCTTACTCAGTATTTTGTACCACGTGGGATATTTTCATTAAAATAACAATGGACAACCACTAAAACACACACTTCCCAAATTGGAGAAAAACAAAGTAGCTAGAATAAGGACTTTCAGCAAAGCTGAGATTTTTCTTTTTTTCCTGATTCTAAAATCTACTTTTGTGGGGGCTCTTTCAAGGGCAAAGTGATGTCTTCCACCACCATAACACTCCGGTATGTGAAAGGTTCAGACCGGCCACCACGCATGGACAGGCCCCATCCCCAACAGTCCAAAGTCTCAGCAACATGTCACGGACAAACACAAGCCTTGTTTTCCATGCATGTATGGAAAAGATAAATTTCCACAGCAGTGTTCTTATTTAATGGGGTGGAGGGAAGCCTGGCTTTTTCTTTTCTTTTTCTTTTTTTTGTACACAAGCCTGCTGGGATGGGATAAAAACTTGTCCAACTCGTCTCAGCAACACCACGGGAGCTGCAACTTCCACAACGCACAGCGCGAAGAAAAAGGAAACGCAAAAAAAAAGGGCCCTGCAGGCTGGCAGCAAGCAGCCTCGCCTTGCAAACTTGAGGAGTGCGGGAACCCCAGGGTGCCGACCGGCCAGGGAAGGCGCTCACCTGCCAGTAGATGCAGCCTCTTCCCGCACAGGCAGCTCTGCGGGCAGCCCAGTACCAGTATACAAGAGCCTGAAAACTAATGAATTCTCATTCACACTGCATTCCCGCTGGCTCCCATGCTGTCTGTCCGGGGAGGAAACAGAGGAGGCACTCAACCAGACACCAGGCCCAAGGCCTCCGTGGGGGCCCTGGCTGGCCTTCAACTTGAACTCTGGCATTCCACGTTCAGCTCAAGTTTTCAAACATGCCGCGGAGCTCCCATCTAGGGCCGCACCAGCTCGAAAAAGACGCTCAGATAAAAAGCTTTTGGGTTCAGAGTTATATCTTGTGTTTTTGTTTGTTTCTTCACAAGAGCAACAAAGTTCATGGAAATAAAACTTCCAGGGAAATGTGGAATGGGACCTTGGAGTCACGTTTAAAGGATTCCCTAGAATGGCTGACTGCAAGTGGGGTGGGGTGGGAGCTCCTAAAATCCACCAGCTCTTTACAAACCAAATCCATTTGCCCAGGCGTTTGAGCCAGGATACTTTAAAATTGAACTTCAAACTCGGGCTGTTACAATTAAGAACACAGAGGGCAGGGAGGGAAAAAAAAAAATGTAAGGTTTGTCTCTTAAAACTCCACAACGGGTTTTACAGTAAGCACAGGAATTAAATTATGGTAAAACGGAGCTATTTTTACTAAAACAGGGTAGACCAATTTATCAAAAATGCCATTCGGCTGTGTTCATTACAGTCAGGAATCTAATTTACACAATAGACACTTTGGAGTAATCCATTTTAGTCAATAACTACTCAGACTCCTTTAAGTTTCCAGCCTTATCAGAAACGCATATTTTACATAGTCTTCTTCCTAGTTAAGCGAGAAATTGGAGGAAATTTCATAACGACCACGAGTCTGCCTTATCGTTCTTACGTGGACAGGGGCTGAAGCAAGGACTCAACAATTAAAGTTGTCAGTCTCCACTTGTGTGTGTGTGTGTGTGTGCGTGTGCGTGTGCGTGTGCGTGTGCGTGCCTGCGTGTGTTTTAATCCAATCCCTCCGAAAGTACTTTAAGTCAATATCAGCAGCAAAGTTGACCCAAGTTTACACCTCGCCGCTGGGAGCAGTAGCCCTTCCCGGAGGACACTTGGGGGACCCTCCAAGAGACACGAGCCGCCTTGGGGGCCCTTCCAGACCGTGCACACACACACACACACACACACACAATCTCCGCCCTGGGCGCACAGAGTGCTTCTGGCCCGCGCGCCACCGCTCACCTTCAACTTGGCTCCGGCTACACACAACATCCACCTGGCAGAGTCCCGGGGCTGTCCAGGCGCCGCCAGCGCGGGGCTGGCACGTGCGGGACAAACCCCGTGGGCGCGCCGCTCCTCTGGCTTGGGGGTGACAGGCAGGCTCGCGTCTCCTGGGAACGGCAGCGGCTCCGGAGGGGTAGCCAGTGAACAATCCCCGCACGGCTCCTGGGGCTCGGCACCCGCATCGCCATCCGGCACACCACAGTCCGGAGGGGGCCCAGGGGCTTCGCTTTGCAGAACATGGCCCGAGAAGGCATCAAGGAATGGTCCCACCACGCGCTCCATGGCGCCCGCGTACCCCCGAGGAGAGGGCAGGACCCCTGAAGACAGAGGGTCCGGGTGCAGCGGGCGATGGGTCGCTGGTGCCGGGAGGAAGCCCTCCCCCGCCTCCCACACACTTGCCCGGTAGCCGGTAGCCGGCGTTCCGGGACTCAGCGCGGGGCCTGCGCTCCAGCAAAGTTACAACCGCGCTCCTCGCGCCCGCACCGGTGCCGGCCAAGCTGTCCCGGGCTCCGCGACCTCCGCTGCACAGCGTGCCGGCAGTCCCTCACTACCCGACTCCAAGTTTCCCCCAAAGCGCCCCCCGCGGAGGTCCCCGATCGCGGAGGGGCAGCCGCTCACGCAGACACACAAAAGATCCGGGAGGACGCGGGATCCGCACGGGTACACCACCCCCCCCACCCCGGACGTAAACAAACCCCCGGGGTCCCAGGCGTGAGGCGCAAGTCGCGCCGGGCGCGGACAAGCCGGGTGCGCGGCACGGCCAATGACAGCCGCCCAGCCGCGGCAGGGGCCCGGGCCGGCCGGGGCAAGGGAGCGCGGGCGCCCGGCCGCCCTGCCCGCCTGCCCGCCTGCCCGCCTGCCCGCCTGGCCGGAGCCGGGCCGCGCCGCCGCCGCCGCCGCCGGTGGCCGCTCTGACCCTCCCCCGAGCCGGCGGCACCACAGCGCCACCAGCCCCGGCTCCGTCGCGCCGGCGGCAGCGGCGGCGACGGGCTCCTCCTGGAGAGGCAGGCGCTTCACCCCCCACAGCAACTCCCCACAAACTTTCCCCGGGAATACCGCGGGGGCGCGGGACGCGCGGGACGCGGGCGGGCGGGCGGGAGGGCGCGCCACCACGGCCGCCGGCCGGGCCGCAGCCCCCTCCCGGCGCCCGCCACCGCCACCGCTACCGCCGCCGCCGCCCGCGCCCCGCTCGCGCGCGCGCGCGCCCCGCAGGCCGCCGGGGCCGCCCCCCTCCCCGGTCCCGCGGCGGCGGCGGCGGCGACAGGGCCGGGGGGCTGGGGGTGGGGGGCGGGCGGCCGGGGTTGGGGGGCAGACACCGGGGGCAGCGGTGGCGGCGGCGGCGGCTCCCGGCGCCATCTTGGGCTGATCGATGAATTGAACAAAGAGGATCAATTTCTGATCAAGCGAGTTATCAATGGGGGCCGGGGAGCGAGAAGGGACTTGTCCCCGACTCGGCCCCGCTCTCCCCGGCACCCCCCTCCTCCCCGCCGCCGAGGCCCCCCGGCGGCCGGGCAAGCCCGGGGACCCCGGGGGAGGCCGCGACCGCCCGCAGCCCCCACCCCCGGGCGAGAGGCCGAGCGAGGAGAAGCCTGACCTGCAGCTGCTGTAAATCAAAGCGCTTCCAATATTGAAACATCGATCCCACATTGGCCGCCATCTTGAGACATATTGAGACGGAGTGAGAGGCTGATAGAGAGGGGGCTGGAGTTCAGGAGCCGCCAGGAGGCAGCAGGCGGGCGGCGCCAAAACCCGGCCTGGAGCCGGCCGCCGCCGCCGCCACGGAGGACGCGGACTGCCTCCTCACGGCGCCGCCGCAGCCCCGGCGAGCCCGGGCCCGAGCCTGGAGCCGGAGTCGGAGCCCCAGGGCGCGGCGGAAGCGGCGTTCGCCAGCCGGGCCCCCCTGCCGCCCCCTCGACGGCCCGGCGACCCCTGTGCCCTCGGGGGAGGCCCCCCAGCCCTGGCCGCGGCGGCGGCGGCAGCAGCGGCAGTTCGAGCCCGGCCCCGAGGGGGCGCTGGCGGGATGCTGGGCCCCCGGTCCCACCGTCTCACCTGAGGCGCGCTCCGGCCCGGGGTGTCCCCAGACCGGGGGCGGTGGGCGCGGCGCCCCTTGCCGCACTGCGCGCCGAGCCGCCGCCAGCTGGACCCATCCTGCCTGCCGCTCCGGCCTTAACGGCGTCCGCGCCTGTCTGAGGCGAGTCGGTCGGCCGCCGGCGGCGTCCCGCTCAGGCCACGGGGACCGTGGGTTTCGGTGCCAGGCTGTGGCGTTGGCGCAGCAGACGGGGAACCTGTGTCTGTGGTGGCAGCACACGTTAGTGGCCCCCTCAACGCGCCCGGGAGGCGGTGTCGCTGGGGGTCCCTCGTGGGGAGCCGCTCCACTTCCAGCCGCGACAGGAAAAGTCTCGGCGCCCAGTTGCGTGTGGCCCCCCGCACCGCCGCCATTCAGTAGTCCCCAGAAACTTCTTGGGGAGCTCAGACACCCCGGATTTCACTCCTATGTGCGCACAAACTTGAGGGGACGGGGAAGAGTGAGTGGGCTCGCTCCTTAGGAAAGGAGAAAGCGTGGTCCAAGTTTACAGAAACGCTGAACATTAGAAGCTAAAGAAAAAATTTCCTTTTGATTTCCTTTTTCCCCAGAAAAAAGCCTGACACACAAAAAGCCACGTTCGCTGAGCGTTGTCTTTAATTGATTACACACACGTGTAATTCTCCCGCACTTCATTTCACGTGTAATTAGTTAAAACAAATCCCCAAATTCCTTAATCTTGAAAATTGCATGTAAATAAACTGTGTGCGATAGAAAAATAAAACATGGACGTGGGAAAAGAGTTTAGCCTGATTGGAGGCGGGGTGCGGGCACTGAGTATGTTTGGGGAAAGCACACGTCCCCAAAGTCTCGCCTGGCGCGACCGGACGGGGTATGGGGGGGCCCCTGAGGTCTGGGGGGCGGGGTCACCGCGTCCCCCCAATCCTCCCACCTGGTCTTCAGCCGGGAATCTAGGTCAGAGCAGGAACTAGGTGGGTCGGAACGCAGGGACTTTGGGGGGACGCATCCGCAGCCGGGGAGCCCCCAGACCCAGCGACGCTGGCCAAGAGGGACCCCGGCTGGCCTCAGGGGGTTGCGCGCAGTCGGCCGACCGGTGCGCTGCAGCTCTGAGCGCACCGCGTCGCCCGGTAGAGGGCAGCGGCGCCCCGGGACTCAGGTCTTCGGGTTCCCTGGCGCACGTGCCCAGCAGCGCGCCCCGGGGCTCTGCCGGTGGCTGGCCACGCCCTGTCCCGGAGCCAAGCTCTTCTGGCTACAAGTGGCCGTGCCACCTCAGCCTGGCCAAATGCCGCTTGTCATCCTTCTTGCCCCGCGTCCCACGCTGGGGGACAGTTCCCCCCCCCCGCCCCCGCTGGCATCTGAACCGTGGCAGGATTGCCCCCAAAAGGAAGTTATACAAAATGTGCAGGAGCTTTTAAAAAAAAAAAATCTCTCCCGTGGGGAAGGATCAGGGAAATGGTTTGGATTTGGTGCAGATGTTTTCAATCTAATTATCGTGTCGATCCCCTGGGTTTGAACAAAAAAAAAAGTGAAATATATATGACCTGTGTAATACTCCAGCGGTACATCTGGCTGGAATTCAGGGGTTTGAATCCGTGGCAATATTTCAGAAGTACATTTGATGAGTAGTAACTATTCTTGTTACGTTTCTGGTTGCATTTATGTTATTTACATGCTAACCTAAGGTTAAGCTCTATTTAAATAAAATATACATGACTCCCACTGAAGCTTTGGGTTCTAAAAAATGTCTGCCTGCTGTCAGCAGTGGTAGTGGGTATAAGGATAGTTTTTACCTGTACCGCAAACCATGTTAGAGCTACCCAAAATGGCCGATCAAAACGTAGCTCAGTGAAGTCACCCACCAAAGATTTACAAATAGACAAACATTCATGTTCTTCCTCTTGAGCAGAGGTAGACCTAGAACAAGCTTGAATGAACACATTCTGTCTGTTCTATTTCGTAAGACTGCAAAGTCCATCACTGTCTCTCACCTTCCCCCTGCAGAGGAAGCTCATGGGGCCCTACTGGATAGGCAAAGCAAGTGCAACTATCAGCTTTGGGCTGCATAAAATGTGGAGAAGGTGGCAAGGCTTTAGGCTGGGGATCTCCTGAGTACCTACCATGCAGACACCAGCCAGGACCTCCCACAACATTAATGAGAAAGAGATGGGTTGGTGAGATAACTGGCCCTGCACCAAGAAACACTTGACTATCTTGAATTGATACCACTTACAGGGAAGCCCAAGAAAAACAATCCAGAGGTGTGTGGTCACTTTTTGACTTTCAACTTCTCCCTTTTAGGGAAAGAAAGCTCACAATTCCCACATCTATGACTCATCTGCCACTGTTAACTTTTGAAATCTCAAGCCTCCCCGCACCCCAAGTCATCATCGGGATGCAGGCGCCCACTAACCTGGTGTTTGCCTTTTTCATCTTTAAATGAGACACAGCTTAGCATCACATAAATAATGCAGGAGCCTGAACTTCCCATCTTCTTTTCTGACCCATTTTGTGTAAAAGAAAAGAAAACGAAATGGGTTGCCACAGTAGGAAAGTGATCAATTTAATTAATGTAACTTACAGAAAATGACATTTTGGAGAACTAACCTTTCTCTCATGCTCCTAGGATGGTGGCTTCACCTCTCACTTGACATCTACATATTACACATCTACTAAACCTGACATTCACTAAAGCCACTAAAGGAAAAACTCCCCAGACTCTCATCATGTGTATTGCTTATTACTCAATTGATCTTCATGTGTTGCCCCAATAAATGTAACGTACTGTCATTAAAGATTCAACTTTCTCACATAAAGAATTTCTCCCAAATTGGAAACTGCCTTACACTGTAGGGCTTTATTTTAAAATAAATAAACAAAGGCATACCCTGTGTCCTTCATAAAAGAGTCTTTATGTTCTTGGATCTTATTTAAAATGGACTCCAAAAAAAAAAAAATCAGTTTTACCTAGAAACTTTATCCCCAGGAAAAGTTAGGGACTAATCCAGAGTTTTTATCCAACTGCAAGGAAAGTTTTTTTTTAAAAAAAGGCAATCTTGTATCCCATGTGCTACACTTCAAGGGAAATGTCAGTGGAAACACCCAGGGGGTGAAAGTTCTCATTTTGCTCCATGTCATGAGGCTTAGAGGACATAATTTATTTCCACACCCAAATGCAGGTGTAGTTTATTTCAATGTAACCCTTTCTGAATACATGTTACATCTTAATTTAGTCCTAGTTTCAAATAGTTTCCAACCAGAAATATTTCAGACAACCCAAAAAACAATACCTAATGCTAAAGCTTTACATCATCATCCATTCACGCGCACACGAAGAAGACACGGGCTATTTGGACTCAGGGGGAGAAAAAATCCTGCTGACACCTTTAAATGAAACTCAGCTTACTAAGTCATAGGGGAAATTTCAATTTTGCAACCACAGAAGTTCCAAATTATATCCAGGTACTCACTCAGGGAGCCTGAACTGAAATTTCGGAATAGTTCAGGCCAGCCAGACCACAATTTTGAGCCATTTTAAATTTGAAAAAGATCTCTTCCTTAAATCACAAGATTACGAATAACAGAGGGAAATAATTATTCTTCCTTTTGTCTTTGCTACTGGGGGAGTACCTACAGAACCGTTTGGCATGGACTACTGAAGGGAAGATTCTAGATTTTTTTTTTTTTTGA